TGAATCAATAACACCAAAAGCCGCCCCAATAAGAGAAATATTAAATAAAGGAGAAAAAGTTTATCAAAGACTTCAACCGATACTAAGATAAAAATAATATTTATTTATTTTTACTATCTATTATTTTAAGTATTCCTTCAGCTATTCCACCAATTGCGTTACCTGCTTGTGCTCCCATTGCCGGATTACCTGCTTTAGTACCTAATACTCCACCTATGATAGTTCCTGCCGTTTTCGCTACTGGTGCCAAAAAGTTTGCAACAGGTTTAATAACCTTTTTATAAACCCAACCCGCAGCTTTCTTAATTCCATCCCATAATTTTTTAAAGAATCCTGCCGCCATTTCTGATTATTTCATTAAAATTAAAAAATATATTTCATCACTTATATTCTAATTTTTATTTAATGATAAATGAAACCAATTTTAAAAATAAATGAAACAGAGGAGGAAGAAATAAACGTTGTTAAACCAATTACTGAAATAAAAATTTTTTCATCTGTTGAAGAATTTAATGACTATTATGCCAATAATAAAAAATTATTTGAAGAATTGACAACATGTAAATTGAATAAAATGTTTAAAGTTGATGGATTCAAAATTTCAAAAATAAAAGGAGTGATTAGTTTGAAATCTATTCCTCAATCAAGAATCACCTCATTAATGAAAATAGATGATTTAACAAAAAGAATAGAAATTATTGAAGAAAGAATGAATCAAATAATTGATTTCATAAATTTAAATAATCATTAGTTTCAATTTATTTTTAAAGTTTATTTTTCATTCATGACTCCATTGATTCCAATCTTTATTTTCAACAATGTTTAATTAATCGCGGAATATCTGACATCATCTATATATAGCTTCTTTTATTTCGTTATGTATGGGCTGAGTGTAAATGTCTTACGTTTACAAAATTTTTTAAATCTTGATTTATTCAAAAACGTAAGAATAAAAACCGTAAGAATCATACATTTTTTAATTCATATGTTAAAAAAAATGATACAAAATCGTTCAATATCGTATGAATTCTTACGTTTACAAAAAAAGTCACACAACCCGTCAACATATACTACTTTGTTTCTCATAATTTCTCAAAAAACACGATAACTTGATATTTGTAAATATCATACTTTATAACGTAAATAAGAACTTGACCTATTAAGAAAAGCAGTAATGAAAAGAAAATCTGAAATTCATAAAAATTACAAGTTTCTGATGACAATTAGCTTAATTAAACCAGGTACAAGATTATATAATTGTATTTTCTATCCAATTATCCATATAATATCTTATCCAGAAAAAATAACTTGATCAATACCAAATGATTTTTTAACTAGTAAATAAAGTATTTTCTTTACACACACATTGTATATCATAGTTTTTTTTTGGTTTCGCAAAACATCCGAAAACAAATATGCTATAAAAGTGACAATTTTAGCAAAACGAAACCCTTATTACAATATATTGTCCTATTGTATTGTAATTGTAAACTCCTTAGTTCGATTCCTTCATTTTATTAAATTATAAATATACAATTCTTTCTAATCTTCCTTTTTCATAATTCATTTCTCATTTAAATTCTAAATAATCTAACTCTACTAATCTAGATTTTTTCTAATATCAATTTTTCATATACAAACTCTTATTTTTTCTTTCAAAATTCCATTTTCCAATATTTTTTGAAAATTTTACATAATTTTATATATATTTTATTCTATTATTATTATACAATAATATTATACATATTAATTGTTTTAATTTTTGAATGCATACGATAATTTTTAATTCAATTTTTAAACGAATGTTTTGATGGGACGAGCTTACTGCTCATAGGCTCATCCCATCAAAACATTCCATTCAAAACTCTGGCCTTCATCGAGGCCAGAGCCAACAATTCATCCCCTCAGAGCCAAGTTCCTCGACGGTCGTCCTCATTAGGCCTGATCCGAGAGGAACTTGATTTTGAACGAAAATCACAAGCTCTGGCCTCAGGAAAAGCCAGAGCTTCGCAAACAATCCTCGGGGCCGGCTTCCTCAAAGACCGCCCTGATTCGGGGCGGCCGGAGAGGAATCCAGTCCCGAGAGAACGTCCATACGAAGCTCTGGCCTTTTCCGAGGCCAGAGCTTGTAAATACAATCCGCAGGGCCGAGAAGAGAGGAGATCGTCCACATCATTGACGATCTCCTCTCTTCTCGGCCCTGAAAGACATGCAAATACAGGCTCTGGCCATAGCAAAGGCCAGGGCATGGCTTACAATCAAATTTGCCGAATCTCAGGAGATCGTTCAAATCACGGACGGTTTTCCCTGAGATTCGGCAAAATAAGTCAAATTACAGTTCTAGAAAGGCTAGAAGGGGGCCCTGACCTTGAGAAAGGACCCCCTTCCCGGTCTTTCTGGCGAACTTTGGTTCGCATTGCAAGTGTCTGCTGCGAATCCGGGGCTGAGCAGCAGACACTCGCAATATGTCGCGGCAAGTGCACCTGTGGTGCCAGAATGCACTTGCCGCGACAATTGCGAAATGCAAAGATGATGCCGGAAGGAGCGGCAATACTGGCAAAAGCCACTCCTTCCGACACCAGAAAGACTAGAAGGGGCCCTGACCTTGAGAAAGGACCCCCTTCTCGGCCTTTTTTGTTAAATTTAAGATTATTTCAATTGCAAAATTATTTCAAAATTCATAATGGATAGTACCATACGAAGGTGCAAGTCATAGCAATGGTGCACCATCAATATAAGCCCCATTGCTATGACTTCACCTCGGGATAACCTCGATGGGAGGAAAAGTGGAGCAATTCGAAACATTGCTCCACTATACAAGTTCTTGTAAGGATAGGTATATAGTTACCACATCCTTACAAGAACTGTTCCTCGCTTCGAGGTTTTGTCTTGTGATTGTGTGTGCTGTGCCATCCAATGGACAAACGGATAGCACAGCACACACATACTAGGCATGATAACCCTTCCTATGAATTAGGACGCGATAGCCCTGACCTCACCCCGGGATAACTTGCATTTGTACTCATATCCCGATCAATAACATAATTATATCAAGACACACCTACCACTACATAATATAGCATTATATCAACACAATACTAATATATAATGTTAAAAACACACAAATTGATGATATTCATAATATAAATTGGACCAAAGATCTATATTGAGACATAACTATTATCAAACCTTTATATATAGGAAACATACATTGCACCTATAGAATATTGAATGAAAATTAGATGGTTCTAAAATTCGATATCTGATGCTGACCCAAGGTGGTCCTCATTCCTATATATGTTCATCTATACCTAATGTCCTAATATTCATCCATATACATGTTGGGTCTATCTCCATCAGAAGGGTCCATGCTGAAGTGTGGGTATTCAATTTCCACCCAACGGTTCAGCACGCCTCACAGGGGTCTGTACCATCTTTGCAGATGGTACAACTATGAAGCCAATGGTGATACTTCCACAAAAGAAGACCCTTGATGCGGAATTGGAAGATCTGGACGCCTTTTTTGTTCGCTCCGAGAGTGGATGGATGAACAAATACCTTTTTATGGTATACTGTATCATGTTCATCTGCAAAGTACAGGAGAAAAGGTCTCAAATGAATGTGTTTGATGCCCAGGTACCTTTTCTCCTAATTGTAGATGGTCATCCATCCAGGCTCTCTTTCTTGGCCGTTCGCCTCTTGAGCGCCTTCAATATCGAGCTTCTTGTTCTCCCAGGCCATACATCTCATATCTTACAACCTCTTGATGTTGGGATTTTTTCTCCCTTGAAGGCCCAATTCAAGAAGTTGTTTGATATGGCGACTATCCGGTACGATCAGCAAGGGCATATGGTGATCAATTATGTATGAACGCCAGAGAACTGCGCTATATCATGGTTCGCAGCTTCCTTGATGCATGTAGTGTGTCTTGCACAGCTACAAACATCGAAAATGCTTTTAAAGCAACAGGAATCTATCCATTGGATATGAACAAACCTCTTGCTTCCAGATACATTGTAGCAAATGGAGTTCCTCCTGCAAGGCCCAATTTTGTCAACGACAAAGTCCTTACAGATCCAAATGTGATGATGCAAGTCTTCCAAATGGAATATGGACGCCCCATGCAGCAACAGGATTGGTATTTCAATCTGTTTGTGGCTATGCAATCTGTTTTGGCCTGGAATGGAGCATATGGCCAGGTTCTTAGTCGTGAGTTACATCTCCTTTATCCTACTGCAGGTGGATTTCAAAAAATCCAATTAAAATGATATAAATCTGAGGAGCTCCAGGGTGAAGAGGAATTGATGAAGAAAAGAAGCAGCTGCATAATGGAGTGAGGAAGCATCTTGATGAAGAGAGGAAGCACCTTGATCAAGAGAGGAAGCACCTTGATCAAGAGAGGAAGCATCTTGATGAAGAGAGGAAGCACTTTGATGAAGAGAGGAAGCATCTTGATCAAGAGAGGAAGTACTTTGTTGAAGAGAGGAAGCATCTTGATGAAGAGAGGAAGCACCTTGATCAAGAGAGGAAGCACTTTGATTTAGAGAGGAAGCATCTTGATGAAGAGAGGAAGCACTTTGTTGAAGAGAGGAAGCACCTTGATCAAGAGAGGATACTTTGAAGAAGAGAGGAATCACTTTGTTGAAGAGAGGAAGCATCTTGATGAAGAGAGGAAGCATCTTGATCAAGAGAGGAAGTACTTTGTTGAAGAGAGGAAGCACTTTGATTTAGAGAGGAAGCTGCATGATGAAGAGAGGAAGCACTTTGATTTAGAGAGGAAGCATCTTGATGAAGAGAGGAAGCACCTTGATGAAGAGAGGAAGCACTTTGATTTAGAGAGGAAGCATCTTGATGAAGAGAGGAAGCACTTTGAAGAAGAGAGGAAGCATCTTGATGAAGAGAGGAAGCATCTTGATCAAGAGAGGAAGTACTTTGTTGAAGAGAGGAAGCATCTTGATGAAGAGAGGAAGCACCTTGATCAAGAGAGGAAGCACTTTGATTTAGAGAGGAAGCATCTTGATGAAGAGAGGAAGCACTTTGTTGAAGAGAGGAAGCACCTTGATCAAGAGAGGAAGCATCTTGATCAAGAGAGGAAGCACTTTGTTGAAGAGAGGAAGCATCTTGATGAAGAGAGGAAGCACCTTGATCAAGAGAGGAATCACTTTGTTGAAGAGAGGAAGCATCTTGATGAAGAGAGGAAGCATCTTGATCAAGAGAGGAAGCTGCATGATGAAGAGAGGAAGCACTTTGATTTAGAGAGGAAGCATCTTGATGAAGAGAGGAAGTACTTTGTTGAAGAGAGGAAGCACCTTGATCAAGAGAGGAAGTACTTTGAAGAAGAGAGGAATCACTTTGTTGAAGAGAGGAAGCATCTTGATGAAGAGAGGAAGCATCTTGATCAAGAGAGGAAGTACTTTGTTGAAGAAAGGAAGCACTTTGATTTAGAGAGGAAGCTGCATGATGAAGAGAGGAAGCACCTTGATGAAGAGAGGAAGCATCTTGATGAAGAGAGGAAGCATCTTGATGAAGAGAGGAAGCATCTTGATGAAGAGAGGAAGTACTTTGTTGAAGAGAGGAAGCATCTTGATGAAGAGAGGAAGCACCTTGATCAAGAGAGGAAGCACTTTGATTTAGAGAGGAAGCATCTTGATGAAGAGAGGAAGCACCTTGATGAAGAGAGGAAGCACTTTGTTGAAGAGAGGAAGCTGCATGATCAAGAGAGGAAGCATCTTGATCAAGAGAGGAAGCTGCATGATGGAGTGAGGAAGCATCTTGATCAAGAGAGAAATCACTTTGTTGAAGAGAGGAAGCATCTTGATCAAGAGAGGAAGTACTTTGTTGAAGAGAGGAAGCATCTTGATCAAGAGAGGAAGTACTTTGTTAGTTAGTATGGTTAAGTTGGGTACTGTGGCACTGCGCGCCTCCGTACACCACTTAACGGTTTTGACACTTTACGAAACCGGTAACGTATATTTTACAACACAAACGACAACACTAACCTAACCTTAAATATTTACAAAACCACCACCCACTTCACTTCACTAACGAACTCACTAATGTAAAAAAATAAACGTTCTCACTATCGTTCTCACTAACGACTTCACTAATGTTCTCATAAATTTTCCTCAATATCTTCATCATCAGTGTTAACCCTATTGTAGTCATACTTGAAGTCATAAACTTTCTCTAACTTCTTAACGTACAATTTACATAACTTACCTTCGTCATCATATGGTTTAATGATATAACTATTTCTATCTTTATACACAGTCAATGAAAAGTCAACTGGTCTCGGATGTATTTGAAAGAACATGTTATGCTCAGGAAGGAAGAATAAATGTTTAAATGTATGTTTGTTATATTTTTCGATTTGTATGAGTTGCTTTTGTTCTGTCATTTACATCCAAATAAAAATTTTCAGTAAATAAAAAATAAACTTAAAAATTAATGATATCACCACCCTCACACGTATGAAAACATAGCACAAAAATAAATTTAGGTGAAGTGGTGAGATCTCACCTCTTTTTTCGCCTGTTTTTTCACCCTGTTGAATTCATTGCTTTATAACTCTCTTCCTTTCTCCAACTCTTCTAACTTCTTCTTAAGTTCAGCAATGTTGTCCTCATGAAGTTTAATCTTCCTTAATATACCTTCTCTATCTAATGGTTGCTTTATCTTTCTAAACTGAACTCTACCATCCTTCATAGTATGAACGTAAAAACCTTCTGGAACCGCTCCTGATTTAATGTATTCTACCAAAAACTTTTGTTTCATTGCTTCAGTGACTTTATTTGTCATTTCAATCAAATAAAAATTTTAATATTAAATAAAAATAACGTTATTTTTTCAGTAAGGAAACGCAGGAGTTTTACGATTTATTTGAGGAGTAGGTTCTGGTTTAAATGTTGGAGTCGGTTTAGGAGTTGACTTTTGAACAGGAGTTTGTACTTTCATAGGTTCAGGAGTCATTGAAGGTTTTGCTTGTGAAGGCGTTGGTTTTGGCGAAGGTGTTGGAGTTTGTTTAACTTCAGCTACTTCAGTATTATTTACAACATTTGCTTTGTTTCTTTTCAACATCATAACTGCTCCTGCTGTAGCTAGCAACCTAGTGGGAGACCATATCTTATATAAGGACTTGACCAAATGCTATTTTTGACAGGAGCTGGTGGAACACCTAACCTTGGTGAGACTGCTCTTTGCCATTGTGCAGCTCGTAAGAAATATTCAATAGGTGCTCCATAATCGTTTGGTAAAGTTTGTTTCATAGATGGTGAAGGTTCACGAGAGCTTGATGAAGAACTCATTTATAAGCTTTAAAAATAAACGTTCATCCTTTATTCCTCACTGTCGTCCGTAGCTAAGTTATAGTCATCTAATCTTATTATGGGATGCCATTAGCACGCACCTGAATGGCAAAGCAACAATCCTCATAAATCCAATAAGTGGCTTTGGTACATTTTCAGTTGCTAGTTCAATAGGTCCTTTAACAGACAATTTGTATGTTATTGGAGCAGTAGATGTTTGACCTTGCTGGAAGCAAAAGTCCACTTCTGTTGGAAAACCACATAAGAAATGTGTGTTGTCATAGCTATCCCATTTATGTTCCACACTACCATCATCCACCAATGACCTCATAACATCTTCATTAAATCCTATCATATCATTGTTTGTATTGCAAGCGTTCGCAACCATTTCATAAAATACAGGTCCATATGATTTTTCAGGTTCTGCAGGCATATTTCCATAAGCTCCCATGGAAAGCTGAAGATATTTAAACTTAGGGTTCTCAAAATTAACATAATAGTTGTCTTTCTTTCTAAATAGTGCCCAAATACTTTTAACATTAATAGGCGTATAAGCTGCTGTAAATGTTGCACTTGAACTATCTGTATTCTTTGAGAATGAACCGTCCATAGGAATCCAATCCATAACTTTAACAGGAAAACATAAAGCCTCGTTTGTATAATGTTCTACAAGTTCTGTATAAATGTTAGGGTCTAAAGAGAATGACTTTGGATGAATGAAACATTCATTAAAATCCATCTTTGTTCGAAATAGTTGCTGGGTTACAGTTGTAATAGTAACTGTTCCACTAGCTTCTACTGCCTTCGTTATCATAGTGAATGGTTCATTCCATGGAACAAATTTATTTGTCGGTGGATTTGAATCTGAAGCAAATGCAACTTTAAGAGTTGGATTGAAAGCAATGATATCATTTACAGATATAGATGTGCATTGTAAGGCGTCGCTACTGAACTTTACTTTAAGCTGAATGTTTCCTGCAAAAGCTGGAATAAATCGAATAGCTTCTAATGGAAGGAATCTTCTAACAGGAATTCTTAAACGAAGCTTAAAATCAAATGATTTTCCTGCTGTAATTGGACCACTAACAATTTGTCCTGTTCTGCATGTTCCCGAATGACTCCATACATCTTCATGTCGAGTCTTTGAGAAAACATCTACTTTCTTTATTTGTTCGGTAGTTTGTGAGTTTGAAGTTATATATGCTTCTTCTCTTGCGTTGTCTTGAGAATATACGATACGACCATTTGCAAGGATTTGATATCCAGCAACTGCATAGAAAGCGTCATCGAAACCAATCCAAAATCCTGGTGGGTTTGTTTTATTGGAACCTGAACCAATTTCTTTATCTACAATAAATTGACCTTCCATTTTATACGTAATGAATGTATTGTAAAGGTCCAACATATTTTCACCAGGAGGTGAGAGATTGAATGTTACCCATGTGTTATCTTTAGCAGTTCCAGGTTGTGATGGAATCTTTGCGTCAGAATATTTTCTATTAGTGTCACCAATTTGAACTGCATTGTCTATGATATCGAAATATGAGCGAATCTGATGAATATGCTCTGCTGGAGTAAATTCGTTTAACTGTTCGTTCTGCATGTATTTACTTCAGATAAAAATATCTATTTACTTCATTATTCTCACTCTTCTTCTTGGCATTCGTGGTGGAAGTTGTTTCTTGACATTTTCAATGAATGTTTCTCTTTTGTCTCAACTTCTTTCACTGGCGGGTCAGGATTCTTTGACTCGGTTTGTTTTTCAATGAAATTCACGAACTTTGCAATAAGCTCTTGGTTCGTTATTGAAAGTACATCTGGCTTCTTTTCTTCTGGTTCTATTGACTTTTCAGTTTGAACAGAAGGTTTTATATGGGCTTCGCCTCTGCCATGCACCTTAATTGTCGCTTTCTGCATTCGCTAATGGAACCTTTCTTTTTCTTACGTATATTTTACCATCTTTACTCTGACTTACGTAATAGAAAGGATGTTGTATTCCTCTTGCGTCATTTAATATAATAGACTCTCGCTCTGATTTTGACAAGCTCATTTTACATCGGTTAAAGTTTTAATTTTGTTTTTTATCTGCAGTCAAATGACTCAGACAAGCCCTACGGACAAGACCCAAGGGGTCATAGATGTTGAAGCATTGAAGAAAGAAATTCGTGAGCAAATTTTATCCGAACTGAAGGAACAAAAACAAGAACAAAAGCCAGAGAGACCAAAGAGAAAACTTAGTGAAAAACAACTTGCTGCATTAGCTGCTGGAAGACAAAAGAACCCAGACTACTGGCGAAAAAAGCTAGAGAAGAAGCTGAAGCAAAAGCTAAAGAAGCTGAAGCAAAGAAAGAGTAAATGGTTTATTTTTATCCGAATTAAATGTATAGACAAATACCTTTATCTGTTGCGTTCAGTAGTGAAAACCCTGACGTCAAAATAAAGGGGAACAGAGTAACGTTTAAGTTTCCAACAGACTGGATTGTGAACATAAATGAAGAGAAGTACATTGGCATAACATCTATGTATATAACACGTGCTTTCAGAAAGGTTGACTTTATACTTCAAGTCGAGATAGAAAATGACGAACAGTCTTTAAGCGCCCAAAACATTCACATATACAAATACTTTAAAGACGATACAACATTGCAACAATGTATGATTTCATTTAATGAAATGTTCGAGAAAAAGTTTAACATTGAAGTACAAACTTTACAGCCTTTACGTGAGTTTCTTGCACAACTGAAAGAAGAAGGTAGTCAGCCACAACTTATAGACTTTCATTATGAATTTAATGAAAATGAAGATGGAACTCATGACTGTCAGTTTGTTGTATTCTCACCATTCAATGAAGTCGCTAAAAAGAAAGAAAATCCATTACGTATAAGATTTCAAATCTCTGAACCAAGTGATGATTTCAAGAATGTTTTCAATTATGATGCAATGCTTCCGAGGAAAAATGAATTTTCAAAGATTGTAACACCTGGCATTTGGGATAGAAAGCAAGCTATATTATATTCAAACTTAAGTAAGGGAGTTGAAAATGAGTTCATCGTCATACAAGAACTTCACCACTTCCTAACCCTAAATACTATAAATTAACTGGCTTCAATCGTGAGTTTTGGATAGACATGTTCTCCACTCATGACCATAACTGCCCAGTGTTCTTACCTCCAGACCATAAGGACTGTCTCTACATTGAAGCACAACTCTTAAACTCTACCATCGCAGTATTGTAAATGACCACATGGGCTTATTTTTATCACGAATGACATCATTGCTGACAAAAATAAATGACCTCAGAACTTCAACTTACGAATAAAGCTTGTTTTAGTCGTTATTGAGAAGTTAAACTTCTCTTCAAAGCAAGGTTGACATGACTTACATAAGTCAAATCCAATCTCTTGACCGTCATAAAGTGCTTTGTAAAGTTTCATTAAACTGAACTCAGAGTCTTTGTCATATGTTCCTTGCGGAACCATTAAACCTTTATCTTCATCATAGAATCACTGAACAGAGTCAGGAAACATTTCATTAGCGGTTAAAGCAATAACATCTTGCTTCACGCCTTTCATTCTGCAGTGAAATGCAACTTCATTTAAATCATTCGTGAGTAAGTCTATGTAAGTCTTCTTTCCACAAAATATTGACTTGTATGCTAAACTTTGTTTTCCAGGTGTGATTTCTGCAAAGTCGCTATGAAATTGACCAAGGTTTTTACCAATGAGAACTCTTCCATAACGTTTCTCAAACTCTTCAGCTAAACGAGGGATATCTTCATTGTAGAGATGCATACTGTCCGTATCGCTATAAAAGATGTCCATTCCTAAGTCCTCAGCAGTACAGAATACTTCACACATTATTCTCTTCGACATAGACAGAATGTTAACACCAAGTGGACAGAAGTTAAAGTGTCTGCAAATGCTTTTCGTTAGCTTGAAAATAGTTTTATCTGAACCATCCAAACCTTCGAACTTCACTATATGGTTGTAGTTTCTGATGGCATATCTTATAGCATCTTTGTCATTTACTATGGTTATTTTTGACTCAATAGGAGATAGAATAGTTTTGCCATAAATACTGTTCAGAATGAGCTTTATATTTTCTTGCAAAGGATTTCCTTCTTTCTTATACTTTAACCTTAACTCAAACAACTTCTTTACTTCATCTCTTATTCTAATATCTCTGTTTCCATCGTAATAGTATCCTTGCAACACTTCACATTTGACACCTTGATATTTTATGAGGTCTTGTAATGTTATATGGTCAACATACATTAAACAGCAAGTGTTTGAACTTCTGGGAACGTTAAGTTCTGGATTTAGTTCAGGGTCACAAACTATTAAAGGAAAGTGTCTATGTATTCCAATCTCTGTTATCTTAATGAGAACAAAGAAGCCAGACATAAACTTTTCACCAATGGGTTCCTTTTGGTCGTCATCGAATAAATGTCTCATGAGATACTCTGTGCTTAACATTTCTTTCTTCATAACCTTTGGAATTCCTTCTAAAGTATAAAGTCTTGCTATAGCTGATGGATATAATGAAACAGCGTCGAAGTCAGCAATGAGTTTCTTTTCGCTCTTTTGTTTAATGTTATCTGACAGCATACATCTTCCACCTTGAATACAGCGTGAAATAAATTCTCTTGGTTTATTTGAGAGGTCATATAAATTTCCATTCGGGAAGTACACTCTGTTCTCAAACAATTTGTTAGCAATTGAACAAATACTAACATAGTCATAAACGTTTAAATCAAATTCTTTCAATATGTCATTGCGGAACTTAACAAAACCTTCTCTTAAAATTCTTACATCTTGTTTGCAATAAAATGCGCTATACTTTTCTAAGTCGAAGTGGTTTTCATCTATTCTGCAACCTTTGATGGAATTTATGTTTTTCATGAATGTATCTGCATCCCGGATAAACTTACATGCTTCAGAAATGACACCAGTTCTGTTGTCATTTGCTAACAAAACACTGCTGTAGTAGTTATATGGAAATACTTCTTTCGGTCCTGTTTGTAAGTTAAACATAGCAGGAAATAGTTTAAGCTTCTTATTTATAACACTGTAAGAGTCTTTTATAATAATTGCCCTTCCTTTATATAAGCCAGTTATTTGCATTGTTCGTGAACCTTTAATGATGGGAGTTCCTTTCACTTCTGTCATGTGTCTTAAGATGAAGTTTATATCATAACTGAGGTTATGGAAATATATTAAACTCTTGTCAGGAAGTCGTTCCAAAAATTCTGTTGCACAGTTCTGACCCCAAATGCTTTCACTCACTGAACCATCTTCACTGTCGTAACATATGTTAAAAGCTTTATGAAAGCCATCGGTACTGCACTCAAAGTCAGCAAAGAAAACGTGCTCAGGAATGAACTTGCACTTATTTTTATTTACTTCTTTTGACTCGGCTTTCTTCTTCAGTTGTACACAATACTTTGGAGCATATGTCAAATCTTTAAATGGTGCAAGGTTCTGTTTATATAAGTCAGTCGTATATGTGAAAAGTTCTCCATAAGAAATAGGTTCGAAATATTTGCACTCCCACAATGTTTTCATAACATCCCATAACGGTGTTGTTCTATCATAACGAACTACATATTTATCTTCTCTCTTTGTATAAATCTTCATTTGTTTCTCAATGTTCATTCCACCACAAGTCTTCAGATTTCTATTGTAATTTCGACGAAATATGTTGTCATTGGTAATCTTTCATTTAGCATGTAGTGGTCTTCAACAAGAAGTAAGTCAATAGTTCGAACAGTTTCACATTCTTTTGGTATGTATCTCTTTATTTCATTATGTCTTGAGTCATTGAAATAACCAATGGTAACATTAAATGCTATACCTGTTGCGTCAGAAATTTCTTGTACTTTACTTTGAGGAAAGTCTCTAACACGAATGACTTCTCTCATGTGGTCAATAGTTTCTCTCATTTACTCCAGCCTGAATGCAAGCATAAACGAAGCAGTTATCTTCTGTCATAAGTGCTGCAGTTCTTTTCAATTCATTGAAGATTTGGTAGCGCTTCAAGATTTATAGGTAATGTGCAAAGATACTTCCAGAACTGACCGCTTCTCTTCTTATAAAACTTCTTTTCACCATTATCTTTCCAAAAGCTTTCTATAAGTGCTGGGTTTCCTGTTTGCTTAAGAGCTTCCAAAATGGCTTTCTGGTCATTTGTCAGTGTGCTTTCATCTCTATATGGTCTCTTTTTTGGTTTGCCTTTCTTTACATCTGACATCGTTAAGCCTTCATATTCTGTTAAATCATACATCTTTATTTCAGTAAGATTCTTTATGTTTGTCAAGAAGAAGTCATAGTGCATTTCAACAATACCTGCAGCATTTGCTTCTATCTCTGATATAAAGTTCTCCTTCAAGAGCTGATGTAGTAATGTTCCAATATTATTGAGGTTTAACGTAGAACATTCATACTTTCCACCAAGTTTATAACATACCATCCATCTCTGTTGTGAGTTTATTTTAATTTTCTCTAAGAGTCTCATGAAAACCTTACCGAAATGTTTGTGTAAGTAGTCTCTGTTTGGTTCATCTAAAGCTTCGATGTTAAAGTCAATGAGTCTATTGCCTGACTTCACATTTCTCTTCCTATTCTCTTCATCTTTCTTTAACCATCTCTCACCTTCTTTTGGTTTGTCGTCAATGGAACGAATGACATCGTTAGCTTTGCGAACTTGTTCTATAGCACTTTTAAACATCTCTCTTCTCTGTTGTTTCAGTGTGTCGTCTCTTCTTCTTGTTTCACCAACGTTTGCATTTGTTATGTCAAACATTTCTCTTCTTACTTCATGAGGTACTGAACGTCTATGATATAAGTCAATAGCAACGTCATTTAAAGGAAATGCTCTTGCATGGACTTCGTCCTCGCCGCGTTGCGGCTTTATGAACTCATGAATTCTATCATAACTTATTGCACCATTATAGTCTTTAATGAAGTCAGCGAGTGCTTTTTTGTTTGTTGCGTAATGTTTTGCAACATCTATGTTAGCTTCTGTAAGAAGTTGTTTTATTTCCGAGTGTTCTAACTTAGACAACTTCCGATACATTTTTAGTAGGAAATAAAAAAATATTTTTTGAAAAAATTAGATTAGATTTTTTTTAAGTTATTTTCAAAATAATTTAATATTTTTATTTTAATGAAACACATGCAAGATTGCAAGTTCTTTTCATACAATGCTCTCGCTACTGCCATCAAGAATGAGTTCAATAATGCTTCAAATGTTAATGTTATCTTTAACAAGAAGTTTGTGAAAGAATCTAAGTTTGGTCAGTATGTCAGACCATTAGCTATCGTCATTGACCGCAAACGTTATACTTCACAAGAGTTAGCAGTAGTTTTGAAACAAAAGAGTTTCTTCGTGAATGTCAAAGATACTCATTATACTGTTATAAAGAACTCTAATATTGACTTCTTCAGTATTGTTTTAAATCTTTCCGAACAGAAAGAATATAAGAAGGGTGAAACATCTGTGAAATATTATCCTTCATCTCTGAAGACAATAACGAACAAAGATGTTATACAGAAATTCTTACCAAAGGTTGAAGAAGCTTCTATTGACATTGACGAAGGAAGTGAAATGGTTGAAGAAATAGACCCTGAAGCTATTTAAGCAAAAATATATTTTAGGTGAAGAGGTGAGATCTCACCCGTTTTTTCACCTCTTTTTTCACCTCATTCTCTCTTCGTTAATGTTGTCGTGACTTCTTCGTTAATGTTGTCGTGACTTCTTCGTTAATGTTGTCGTGACTTCATTCTTCCTCTTTGAAGTTATCGAAATATTCTGTTATTTTTTCCTTCAGTAATGTTAAGTCTTCTTTGAATGTAAGTATTGTGCAACCTTTGATGTCATAGTGTGTTTGAGGAAGAGTATTTTTGACAATTTCCTTTATTTGCTCATTCGGTGTCATTGAAATTGGTAAGTTTTCACGATAGAACCAGTTTCTGTCAGATTTGTAAATCTTAGCAAGGTCATAAAAGCTTTTGTTGTTTCTTCTGACTAAATGCAACATAACCATATCTCTGTCTTCTTCTTTCTCCAACTCTTCAGTATATATCATATACTTATAACTCTTTTCCTTTCCTTTTGGTACTGAACGCGGTATTCTTTTCTGTATGCTTTTGTCTTTGGATTCAATGACTTCATCTTTTGCTTGAAGTTTCTTTTCCATCTCTCCACGTTCTGCTTTATATAGTTCATCTAACATCATGAAAATATAACAAGCATAACGAGGTGAAGCCCATATTGCTACAGCGTTTACTAAAAGTCTATGAACATAATAACCTTTCAAACCAGGAGCCAAATTCTTGCGATTTTCGTACGGAATCTCTTCTCTCGGTTTTCCGAGGGAAGCAATCATATGAGGAAATTCTTCTAAAAGTTCTTTTGTCTGTTGGTTTTCAAACCAATGATATGCTTGTTTTGTAGAACGAAGAGCATTCATTATACTTTGCATTTGGTACATGTCATCTTTGACTGAACGAATGAGACGTAACTGTTTGTTATACTGTATGTACTCGTATTCTTCATTTATGGCTTCATGAACGATAGCAATTGTTGTGTTCTCTGATGTTGTCATTACTGTCTTTACATACAAAATAAAAAAATAAATAAAAATAAAACTAACTTTATTTTCTGACTTTCACAAAAGACCAAAAATAAACGCTTTACATGTATTTTTCAGCAACTTCGTCAAATAATTTTATAGCTTTATCTATCTCATCTACTTCAAACGTTTCTTTACCTTTCGTGGGAGCACCATACATTTTCTCAAAAACTTCAAGCAGTTCTGTTTCAGCAGCTCTCATATCATTAACAAACACAACCTTGACTCTATTGACTGTACTGTCATATCTTTGAGTTATATTATATGTCCTTCCTATCTTATATCTTTTTGTGTTGAAGTCCTTCGGTTTCTGAACGATATAAAGTAAGCCTTCACTGCAACGTTCCGTATCGAATGAACCATATGTTATGAAGTTATATCCAACAACTGGGTCTAACCATAACAAAACTATTGGTATAAGACTTTTGTCTATAAGATATGCTCTTGTTCCATGAAATGCTACTGATATCATAAGCTCAGGATTTCTTGTCAAAATTTTCTGAGTTGAAGCATTTCTAACCCAGTCGTTTGTTTTCTTTCCAGATGGAGATATAATGTCTGACAAAGAATATTTGTTGTATTTCTTTGAGTATCTTACGTTTAAATCACCTATTCTAACCACTTTGGTGTCATTGTCTATCTTTCTAACTGTTTCAAACTCAATGTTTGTCATTACTGTCTTTACATACAAAATAAAAAAAATAAATAAAAATAAAATTAGCGTTATTTTTCTAACTAATGAAATTCATTATTTTTGTGCTGAATTCAATAAAAATAATTTTTAGGTGAAGAGGTGAGATCTCACCTTTTTTTCACCTAATTTTTCACCTCTTTTTTCACCTCTTTTTTTCACAAGCGTTTTACATTAATTGTACGATGTATATTTGAAATCCTAAACAATTTCGTAGCTTCAATTTCTTCTTTTAGTACATCGAATGTTTTAATCATGCCGAAAGTCTCTTTATATTTCTTCTTGACGTCAGACAGAAGGAAATCTTCTGCAGTTGGATAGTTTTTGTTCAGAAATGTCAACATATCCATTTTATCTTCTGCTGGCTTTTCTGCTTCTTTCTTTAAGTCTGCATAGTCGTTTCGCATTCTTTCTATCTCTTTGACTGAATAGTTATATTTTCTTATTGCTGCTTTACATTTTGAACATTGCGGATTCATTTTTGCGTTATACATTGAAATAAAACCAGCTAGAACAACTAAGGCGTCAATGGTTTTCTTTAACTCAAAAGCTGCTGGTTTTAACTGTTCATGCCATACCTTACCTCTTCTATCTTTATCTCTTATTTCCCAACACATTTTGCAACTAATGAAACAAAGTTATCGTATGTCTTAAACTCCACCGATTTATATGTCAGAAATATTTTTATAAACCATGTCGCAATCTTTGTCCATAACTTTATGGTTGCAATGATATCCTAGAAACTCATAATTTACTTTACGTATGAATTTCTTTATTTCTACTGAGTCAGTTGGTTTCACTTCTATTTCGTCGAATTCAGGAATAGTTAGTTTTTGTTGTTGGATTTCAGGCAATTTGGGTAAATGGTCAATAATGTCCTGCATTTCATAAAGATATTGTTCATTTGTTTCATCTTTCGCACTACAGTCTAAATTACTTGTTAAAAGTTCTTGCTTTATCTTCTGGATTTCTGTTTCAAAAGTATATGAAGAAGGAATAAAGCTTTTCATCTCTACCAACATTGACGTAGGATTCATGACTAGCGAGTTTGGTGCTGTAGTTGTTTGAATTGTTGTTGTGCCGATTGTTGAAATCATATCTTTTATACAAAATAAAAAAATAAATAAAAATAAAACTAACTTTATTTTTCTATCTTAAGGAAATTCATGAAAATTCACGAGAAAGCTAAAGCAATCTGAGCCGCTAAGCGGCGAGGGTGAAAAAAACAGGTGAAAAAACGGGTGAGATCTCACCTCTTCACCTAAAATATATTTTTGGTGTAAATTTATGTTAAAATAAATGGTACCATTAATAATCATGACTGTTCTCATTCATGTCTGATTTACATCTAATGAAAAAGTTTAGAAGAATTTTCTTATTCTTTCTGGCTTATTTTTGTCTTTCCAGTACTCCCGCTCTAATGGTCCCAGATGTGTTGGCTTTGACTCTCTCAAGTTCTTAGATGGTATAACATCTTCAACGCCTCCTTCATATCTTACTTTATAAGTGTCATCGTTTATGTTATAGCCAAGTATTTCAATAACCACTCCTCGCTTTGCTTCGTCAATGGTTTCAGCAAGTTTGCCATTACTACTTTCGACTAATTTATGACGAGGGTAAAACGCAATAGAGTCGTCAGCAGCTTTTATAAGATATCCATTACCTTGCGTAGAGTCTATATATAGTTTCTACTTAACCTTAAACGTTTCTTTGTCAACGGTTTGTCGTCAAGAACTACACGAACTTTTGTACCAGGAATGAGGGTAAATTGTGTTGAATTTCTGATATTTTGTGTTTGGCTTCGTTTCTTTTGTATATACTTTTCTTCTTGTTGTTGTGTCATTGAATTTGGTGTATGCCTGTTGTAGAATGTGTTGAGGAATTGTAAACTTCGGTGAAATGTTTCATTGTTTCTTCGGTAAAGTCTCGCTCTTGGTTTAAATCTCTGAGCGTTCTTATGAAGCGGTTTATGATGCCGAGTATGTTATGGTTATGGTCTTCAGTAGTGTAGTGAGTTATGTTATGCTTAATGAGAAAATCTGTGATTTCATTGCTGAGGTATGCACTGTCTTGGTCTGATGTTAAAGTACTTGGGCTATGTTCTGCTACAAACTTTTGTAAAACTCTTAACACTTCACGAGTTCCTTTATTTTTCATTGGATATGCATATGCTTTACGAGTGTTAACATTAATGAAGATGAGGAATGGTTTATGTCCTCCTTTTCTGCTTTGAATGAGAGTGTCAAATTGGTATGCGTCAGGAGCGTTGGAGTAAATTGGTAAAAAGTAGTCGTAAGGGTTTATTTTTGTTTGATGTACAACATTTTTGTCAAAGAACCTTTTCACTTCAGCTCTGTTAGTAAATCCCCAACTCTTTGCAGCTTCATTGAACTTCTTAAATGACCTCCATGGATGTTGTTCGAATACTTCTTTCAAGCTCATTTATGTAAAGTTAAAGATTTTATTCTAGGCTCAAGCGCGTTCATTGAACTCTATACCATGCGAATACAGTCACAAATGGTGGCATATAATCTGCACCCGAGCCTGTTGGATTTGTTGTGAAAGTGTGTGAATGATTTCCTCCTGGTTCAGTTGGTCGAAAAATCTTTTTTGCTGCATTGTTATAAGATGGAGATAAAACATCATGACCGGCTTCATACTCTGAGTTGTATAATGGGTGGTCTCTTAATGAGTGGCTATGGTCGCCAGAAAAGTTTGTCGTTCCTGTATGAGTGTGCGGTGGAAGGTTTGCTTCTTTAATTTTCTTCGAACCTCCTGTTTGCTTTGAAGAGTTAGCACAGTATAAGAATTTATCTACAATCTGTTCCCACGTACCAAAACCTAAAACACTTGCTGGATTTGTTGAATTCATTGATGTATAAATAGAGCCTATAGGATATATGGTTTCAAGAATCTGAGTCTTCATTGTTTGAAGTTCATGTTTAACATTTATAAATCCTTTGCCATCTACAATATTTATATTGTTTGTTATTAAACCATTAGGAAAAGTAGGAGGATAAATTCTTTGTTCTTGTACAGTTGCACCGTTTCTTCCTGTTTTTGTTACTATTTCGATGCATGCTTTAATTTCGTTAATCTTGATTGTTTGAAATTCTTCATGTGTATGGTTCTTGTCGGCTTTTCCATTAAGCGCAGCATTTACTTCCGACTTCTTTGCATAATTTTCATCTACATAAGTTTTGTCAGCTTTCTTATCTAACATTGCTGGTAGTTCGTATGCTTCAAAGTTTCTGGCATGACCTTCAATGTTCATACATCTGTTATCTAAATTGTTTAGTGTATCTTTTACGCTTGTACTTGGATTCTCTAAAGGTGCACTTGAACCCAAATCATAGTTCAATATTATGTCGTCTGCTCTAACAGTAGTGAAGGATTTATGTGTATGTTCTTTGTCAGCTTTACTATTTAATGTAGCTTGAAGTTCATTTATATCGGAGATATTGTGTTTATGAGATTTCAAAACTTTGTTCATTGCTTCGAGTTCAACTTTGTCAGCTTTACTTTTAATAGCATCTTCAAACGTTATTTTTGCCTTAACTCTCAAAGTAAATCTTGGTTCAACTAATACACCGTTAACAAAGAAATAGAGGCATAAATTTCACGTTATAACCAAATGCTTCTGGTGCTTTACCATGTCATACTGTACAGTACAGCTTATGTCATAACCTTTAGCACGAATGTATTTATATCTTCTTTCATTAACATTTTTTGTCTTCGCTTCATCACTTCGTGTTAAATATCCATGGTAGTCCGTTATAATCTGTTCGTCTGAAGTTATATAATGAACATGGTTTTTATCTGCTTTTTGTGAAAGAAGTTCAACAACTTTTGCTTCACTTATGTTACCAGTGTCACTTTCATTTATTTTTGTCAGCATTGCGTTCAAAACTTCATAAAGACTAACTACTTCTTTTGGTTCTTGAAACAATGAGTCAAAAGTCTTTCTTAACATTACATCTTCAACTGTTATGACTGAGTCAATACCTTTCTCTTTTATTGTCTTAGCTAACTGACCTAAAACAACGAACATATAGTCTAAAATATTATCTTCAGTGTTAAACACTATACAGTTTTCACGAATTGTTGTGTTTGTTGCTGTTAAAACTTCTTTAAACTCAGGATATATATTCAGTAGATTTTCAACAATTGTTTGAACCACTTGTCCTCCTTCATCTAAATCTCTTGCTGCCATTAAAGGATGTAAATTAATTGGTTCAATAATTCCGAGACGAGGGTTGTAAGCAAGTCCGTCGAACATATTTTTACGTTTGAGTGCCCAGTTAGTTAGTTTCTTTGTATTATATGTTACTTTACCCCATAAATTTTTGAGACCGTCAAAGAAACTTCCTGTATTTCCATGTAATTTAGCAAACTCAACATAAAACTTCATGCTATCTATGCCACCAAGAAAAGCCCAGAGTGCATCTATCTCACTTTGCATGGTTATAAGAGATGCAGTTGTTACACCTGATGAAAATAAAGTAAACAACCACCCTAACCAACTCTTACCTGCTCCACTTTGTTCTACTTTCACAAAATCACTGATATGACTTTTTAAGTATTCTTTCGTAAGTAATGTGTCTCCAGGTGTAACGTCTCTAACGATATTATCTCCGTCAAAAGTCAATGTTCTAACTTGTGTCCGTGCAGCCTTTATTTTAAGGCATGCATAGTCTGGTGTTTGAGGAGCAGAAGGCTCGATGTATGTAATTTTAAAGAAATCGTCATAATTTTTCTTAAAGGTTTCATATGTTGTTTTGAATGTATTGAACCTCATTATTATATCAAGAAGTTTTGTCAATGAGTCAGCAATTGCTTCATCTACTGTTGACGTTTTGAGTTTTATTTCTGCTGAGTCGTTTATGAATGGTACTTGACATTGAGTTGTATATGGGTCAAATCCTGTAGGACCCAAATGAAGCAAGTAGTCTAAAATATCACGAACAGACTTTGAGACAGTGTTGTCGTTCTTCATGACGATTTCACCATTTACAATGAATGGCATAGTACATGAAGTTATTTGTGGGTCAAAACCAGAAGGATTGAAATGAAGCATATAGTTCAGCGCCTCATACACTGACTTATACACTGTTTCATTATTTTTTGACACAATTTCACTATTTACAATGAATGGCATTGTCGAAGGAGTTGTTTTTTGTATCGAACCCTGAAGGATTGAAGTTAAGAATGCTTTCAAGAGCTTCATATACAGACCTATAAACAGTTGTGTCGTTCTTCATGACAACTTCACCATTTACAATGAATGGCATAGTACATGGAGTTAAAATAGGGTCAAACTTTTCATAGTCCTTCCATGTTATATATTTCTCAGTATTTCCATCAGAAATAACAATATATTTGTCAGTAAGTGTGAGAGAGTATTGACCAAAATATAAACGTTTAGCTCTGTCAGCTTCATACGCATATGCAGCTATACTCATATTTTAATGAGAATAAAATGTTGTTCTATTTGCAAAGTACAGACCCAAACGAATACGGGACAGTAAAGCTACAAACAAACTTAGGTCTACAGAATGAGGCGCTTGCATTCAGAATGGTTGACTTCAATACTATCGCTTCATTCGTTATAACAGATGAAACAGATTTCATGGAGATTGAAATAGATGGAAAGAAGCATGAAATAAGATTTCACAATAATGTAGAATATAAGATGGAAACATTAGCTGGAGTGTTAAATGCTCTCATAAATACTACAATAAACAAGGATAACGAAAAAACTTAATGAATGTTAAACTTATTGCAGGAGTTTTGAAGTTCAGTTATGTGAAGGAGTTTAAGATACCAGAATGAGTCATAGAGTACAACTTCTTTTGGGTGCATACCATATGACATTTCCTTTGAAAAGTGTTGACAAAACGATTGAGATGAAATCTGTTCCATAAGTATGTTATGGTAATTGTTTATACATTGAGTCTAAAATAGCTAATGTCACAGGCATTTCAGGAGTTAATAGTAAAGGTTCAGTAGAATATAAATCCTTCTGTTATGAAGTAAATTCAATGTTCATTCCAAACGTTCCTGTCATAGCAACTCATTTAGGTAAATGGGTTCGCATTAGTCCTCATAATTTGAAAGACATGCAATTCAGACTTGTTGACTTTCAAGGAGAGCCTGTAGAACCGAAGGCACCAGTGCGAATGACTGTTGAAGTTGACTTTTTAGAAAATATTAAATGCAACAGCTTACAAGAGAACTCAGAGCTAAAAATATAAAGTATGAATGTTATGTATTAGGTCATGAACTTTGGTTGTTGCTGTTTGATGAAACAAATGAATTAGTTATGTCAGTCAAGAGAACATAAAAATATTGTGTTAGTGAACACTGCGCCAAGTCAATAAGATTAGGTTTGCATTATGAAGATGAGTTCGATACTGTTGAAGAAGTTTTGGATAGATACTATAAGTTGCTTTAATTTACTAAAACATATTTCAAGCAAAGTTTATATTCTGTTGAAAGTTTTGTATACTCGTTCGAATATTTATACTTAAACTCAACTCCTGTAGTTCCTGGTGTTTCAATGATGCGGATGTTACCTATTTTCATGAATAGTGGAGTTTGACCACAGCATTCGATTTCAGGGTCGAGATAGTCAATGACACATTGTTTCCCTGTTATTCGTGATATAGCATTTTCAAGGTCCTCCTTTGTTAGAATTATTTGTTCTTGCTTATAAGATTTGTCAAAAGCTTCTTATCGTCTTTGAGTAAGATAGTTTGATATAACTGAAGAAGGTAATGGTCTACGTTATCTGAAGGATTTGTTTGAAAATTTGTGTAAGGATTGTCGTTGGCTTCTCTTGAAAGAATTTGGTCCAGTGGTGATACTCTAACTTAACATCTGATGTAGCGTTAGCGTTTGAAGCTGAGTTTTAAATTCACCGACTTAAGTTCTGGTTCTTTTTCTTTCAAACACTCTGAACTATAGTTCTTTATGACAATATTGTTTGTCGTTCGTGAGTCAACATTTGATGTTGGTTCAATTGGAACATTAACGGCACCAGCTAAGATGGATTTGCTTCTCATTTCATATAGAATAAAAACCTTTTATATGTATGAAATGAACAATATACTCGACAAGGGTTTGAATGTAAAGCTAACAAATGAAAAATATTGTTGAATTCACTGAGACAGGAGCTGTGTATAAAGATGAGAACTACTGAACAAAAGAGCTAAGGAAGAAGCAGGAACATGAACAAAGGGTGGAAGCCTATAAAAATTTATGTCAATGATGGCTCAGGAGGTTCAAACATAAAGTATGCAGAAAGTTATAGAGTTTATGCTCTCAAAGGTGAAAAGCCTTCATTTAAGAACAGCTATTCTAACGCATATCCTCAAAAGCTAACGGATGGGGAAGTGGATGATATGAATGACAGCAAAAATATTAACAGAAATGGCGACAGAGATGCATGGAATTTGTTTACCATCAGTCAACTGAAGGTTAAACTTTAAAACAATGTTGGTCGTTCCCATGGAATATTTTGACTTTAATGGTATTAGTCATGATATGAATCTCAAGGTATGAACGAGGAGAGATGAGAGACTTATATGCTTCCCAAATTTCTTCAAAAGGTAATATTATACCTGACTGTTTCCAAATGAGTTCAATGTCATAGCGTGAGAAACCTTGAAAGATAACGAAGTCAGTTATGAGACGTTTTATGTTTAAAGCTAAAAACCTCCATGTTTGCATAAGTATTGCTACAGTTAAGTGGTAATGTCTGACTTTAGTAATGATGTTAGCTAATGGTGAGTCTGGTTTTGACACTAAACCTTTTCCGGCGAAGTCGTCGCAAACGAGCAGAGTGTTTGAAGGATACTTTTTGAAGGGGTATTTTGAAAGTTTTGACAGAATGTAGTTTGTAAGTCGTTTCATATCGTAAACTCCTGAGTACTGACGTAAGTGGTGTTTGTCAATAATTCTTTCCATCTCCTCAGAAGTCTTTTGCATTCCTGACTGTATAAATTCAACGATGGCATAATATTTCCTCTTACGTCGAATGTAACGTTGAAGAAATTCAATGAGTTCACTGTCTGGAACTTTAACGACAGAGGCTTGAACTTTTGACATAAATGTTTTCGCTGTTGAGTCCATAGAGTCTGAAGTTGCTGATATAATGATTTGGTCATAATATGAATCTTGACCTAAACGTTCTGTTATGAGTATATGACGAATGAGGTTAAATGTCTTACCTGAACCCATCTTTCCACAATAGAAATAAACGCCATTTGAACAGAACTCATAATCCTTACTGAAAGGAAGAATAAGAGAAGAGTTAAGTTTGTCTGTAGTTTCATTCATGTCTTCATCTACGTCATGTATTAAATGCTTCATTTTATCTCCATTAAAAATGCAAGTCAGAAATATTCAGAACATAGCACCGAGTCTAACTGACAAGAGTATAAAGATATACTATGAACACGTTATGATGAAACCAACCAAAATTCAAGAAAGTCAGTATACTTATGAATATCCAAGACACTGGGTAGAGTATGTAGGAGGTGAGAAAGCTATTGAAATCAGACAGGTTCGAAGTATTCCAGCAGGAAGAACAATATTATTGAAGAACTTTAATGTTTTGAGATATAATGATGAAACAAAGAAGCAAGATAGTTTCCCTGTTGCTGTGTATGTGAACCTAGACACAGGAGATGACATGAAAGTTTTTAACACAAAGCTTCAAACGGTAGTGAGAGAACAACTGACTGCGGAAGGGCATCCATTACCTTCAGAAGTTACCATAGCATATAATTTTGAAACAAACTCAATAGATTTTAAAGTCATCTCTGCAAAGAAGTCAGGTTTTACATTTAATGAAGCAGATGTATATTCGAATGAAAACTTCAAAGCTATTGCATGGTTAGATAATGACGATTGTTTTAAGAAAATATTTAAATACAGTGACTCAACGATGTCAATAGATGACCTTCGTGGAATGTTACCATCGACGTTTACAGTAGAAGGTTCAGCAGGATTGCTTACAAGATTGTCAATTGGTGGTATTTGGTCTCGTGAAAACATTGTTATAAAATCCAGTATAAGTGAATTTGCTGAAGAATCTATATTATGTCTTTCAAACTACATGTATTCGCCGCCGAAGCATTATAGTATAACAAACTTTGTCAGTAAGTTTAACATAAGACTTGTCGAACCTTCTTCAATGAAAGATGTTGTGCTACCTAAAGACGGAAAGGATGGACTCATTATTGAGATGATTTTAATAGCATATTAAATGAGCTTGTTCTTGAAGGTCATTCATGATGAAATAACTGTTGTAGAAGATGTTAGCAATTGTTCAGATATTTTGAAGCGTATAGATGATATAAGAAATAAGTTAGATAGACCGCAAAGCGGTGAGGGCGAAGCCCGTGAGAACGCTTATGTTTCATTGACTTTCTCCAGTAACGAGAACTTTTATGAGATAATATTGAAGAGAGATGATTTTAATATGGTGTAAATGGTAGCTTGGGCAGCTTTAGGCGCAATGGGAACAAAAGCATTAGCATTTGGAACAAAAGCACTTGGAGCTTATGACGCAGTAAATAAAATGAGTGGAGGAAGGGTTTCGAAGACATTAGATGCAAATAAAGGAAAGATTGGAGGCTGGGTTGCAAAGAAGTTAAGATTAAATAAAATAGGGCTCATAAATAAAGCATCCAATTTGGTTGCGACTGAGTCAGAAAATGCTTTAGGAAAGGACGATGAGTTTGCAAAACACGCAAAAGACTTTAATGACCAGATGAAAGGTGAAACAATGCATTTAAATAGAGTCGATGGAACTAAAGAAAATGTTTCTTCTCCACCAGTAGTTCTTCCGTATGGTCCCTATGGAATGTATGGAAACCCTTACGAAAGACCATTTGACCCATTGACTGGTGGAAGTAATTGGTATCATTACGGACGAAGAAGAAAGATAGTCAAGTTGGAGACGGACGTAAAGAAAGCAACTAAAAAGAAACCAAGGAAGAGAGTTATAAAGCAATGAATTCAACAGGGTGAAAAAAACAGGTGAAAAAAGAGGTGAGATCTTACCACTTCACCTAAATTTATTTTTGTGCTATGTTTTCATACGTGTGAGGGTGGTGATATCATTAATTTTTAAGTTTATTTTTTATTTTACTGAAAATTTTTATTTGGATGTAAATGACAGAACAAAAGCAACTCATACAAATCGAAAAATATAACAAACATACATTTAAACATTTATTCTTCCTTCCTGAGCATAACATGTTCTTTCAAATACATCCGAGACCAGTTGACTTTTCATTGACTGTGTATAAAGATAGAAATAGTTATATCATTAAACCATATGATGACGAAGGTAAGTTATGTAAATTGTACGTTAAGAAGTTAGAGAAAGTTTATGACTTCAAGTATGACTACAATAGGGTTAACACTGATGATGAAGATATTGAGGAAAATTTATGAGAACATTAGTGAAGTCGTTAGTGAGAACGATAGTGAGAACGTTTATTTTTTTACATTAGTGAGTTCGTTAGTGAAGTGAAGTGGGTGGTGGTTTTGTAAATATTTAAGGTTAGGTTAGTGTTGTCGTTTGTGTTGTAAAATATACGTTACCGGTTTCGTAAAGTGTCAAAACCGTTAAGTGGTGTACGGAGGCGCGCAGTGCCACAGTACCCAACTTAACCATACTAACTTTTGTTGAAGAGAGGAAGCACCTTGATGAAGAGAGGAAGCATCTTGATGAAGAGAGGAAGTACTTTGAAGAAGAGAGGAAGCATATTGATGAAGAGAGGAAGCATCTTGATCAAGAGAGGAAGTACTTTGTTGAAGAGAGGAAGCATCTTGATCAAGAGAGGAAGTACTTTGTTGAAGAGAGGAAGCATCTTGATGAAGAGAGGAAGCATCTTGATGAAGAGAGGAAGTACTTTGAAGAAGAGAGGAAGCATCTTGATGAAGAGAGGAAGTACTTTGAAGAAGAGAGGAAGCATCTTGATCAAGAGAGGAAGCATCTTGATCAAGAGAGGAAGTACTTTGAAGAAGAGAGGAAGCATCTTGATCAAGAGAGGAAGCATCTTGATGAAGAGAGGAAGCATCTTGATGAAGAGAGGAAGTACTTTGAAGAAGAGAGGAAGCATATTGATGAAGAGAGGAAGCACCTTGATGAAGAGAGGAAGCACCTTGATGAAGAGAGGAAGTACTTTGAAGAAGAGAGGAAGCATCTGGATCAAGAGAGGAAGCATCTTGATCAAGAGAGGAAGTACTTTGAAGAAGAGAGGAAGCATATTGATGAAGAGAGGAAGCATCTTGATGAAGAGAGGAAGTACTTTGAAGAAGAGAGGAAGCATCTTGATCAAGAGAGGAAGTACTTTGATGAAGAGAGGAAGCATCTTGATGAAGAGAGGAAGTACTTTGAAGAAGAGAGGAAGCATATTGATGAAGAGAGGAAGCATCTTGATCAAGAGAGGAAGTACTTTGTTGAAGAGAGGAAGCATCTTGATCAAGAGAGGAAGTACTTTGAAGAAGAGAGGAAGCATCTTGATGAAGAGAGGAAGTACTTTGAAGAAGAGAGGAAGCATCTTGATCAAGAGAGGAAGCATCTTGATCAAGAGAGGAAGTACTTTGAAGAAGAGAGGAAGCATCTTGATCAAGAGAGGAGCATCTTGATGAAGAGAGGAAGCATCTTGATGAAGAGAGGAAGTACTTTGAAGAAGAGAGGAAGCATATTGATGAAGAGAGGAAGCACCTTGATGAAGAGAGGAAGCACCTTGATGAAGAGAGGAAGTACTTTGAAGAAGAGAGGAAGCATCTGGATCAAGAGAGGAAGCATCTTGATCAAGAGAGGAAGTACTTTGAAGAAGAGAGGAAGCATATTGATGAAGAGAGGAAGCATCTTGATGAAGAGAGGAAGTACTTTGAAGAAGAGAGGAAGCATCTTGATCAAGAGAGGAAGTACTTTGATGAAGAGAGGAAGCATCTTGATGAAGAGAGGAAGTACTTTGAAGAAGAGAGGAAGCATATTGATGAAGAGAGGAAGCATCTTGATCAAGAGAGGAAGTACTTTGTTGAAGAGAGGAAGCATCTTGATCAAGAGAGGAAGTACTTTGTTGAAGAGAGGAAGCATCTTGATGAAGAGAGGAAGCATATTGATGAAGAGAGGAAGCATCTTGATGAAGAGAGGAAGTACTTTGAAGAAGAGAGGAAGCATATTGATGAAGAGAGGAAGCATCTTGATCAAGAGAGGAAGTACTTTGTTGAAGAGAGGAAGCATCTTGATCAAGAGAGGAAGCACCTTGATGAAGAGAGGAAGCATCTTGATGAAGAGAGGAAGCATATTGATGAAGAGAGGAAGCATCTTGATCAAGAGAGGAAGTACTTTGATGAAGAGAGGAAGCACCTTGATGAAGAGAGGAAGTACTTTGAAGAAGAGAGGAAGCACCTTGATCAAGAGAGGAAGCATCTTGATCAAGAGAGGAAGCTGCATGGTGGAGTGAGGAAGCATCTTGATCAAGAGAGGAAGTATTTTGAAGAAGAGAGGAATCACTTTGTTGAAGAGAGGAAGCATCTTGATCAAGAGAGGAAGCACCTTGATGAAGAGAGGAAGCATCTTGATGAAGAGAGGAAGCGTAAGAACCGATAACATTTACAAAATATTAAATTTATTTTGTAAATTTTCCAAAAGCCTTAGTACCAATGTAATATAAATGCTCCAAAAATACCATCCCTCCTTCCAAAAGCGTAAGAACCGATAACATTTACAAAATATTAAATTTATTTTGTAAATTTTCCAAAAGCCTTAGTACCAATATAATATAAATGCACTAAAAACCCAACTGCCAATAGCATGTATTCAAAAAATGCAATTCAATACAAATTTGATTGCATTTTTTGAGATGGAAGTGTATCTGAATTCACAATTGTAATCCACGAATACACTTCCATCTCATTGATAAGAGGCTAATGTTTTTCTCATTAATAAGGTGCTGTTGGCCTCTATCCATAGCCGAAGTGATATTAACGTATGTTAACGTACAAAGTAAAAACATGTTTTTTCTTTTTAAAATCATTTAGTAATAAGGGTTTCGTTTTGCGAAAAAAACGTACAATACGCAATTTCGCTAAAAAAACATTTAGCTAGCAATTTCGACCTTTGACTCCACTCAAGACGTCACTTTTTTAATTTTGCGGTATCATATTTTTGGAAAATCTTTATGAATATTATATAAAAAGTCTCTTTAATATCTATATTTCATATTTTTATCGATTTTTAAAGTTTTTGCGAAAAGTATTCAATTATTTTTGCTATTTGGTCGGGTAAATGTCAGATTTGCGACATTTTCTGATATGATATTCAGATTCTACGTTGATAATAATGCTTATAGAACCCTCTTGCTATTGTGTCAAAATTGCGAAACCGATAGCAAAAATATCTCGCAATATCAAAATTGAGATATTGAGTGAATTATGCATTATAGAGATTAAAAATCTGATTTGTGAAAACATCTCATCAGTTTCTAGCTAATTCAAAAATCTTTACTATCTTATTCGATTAAAATGAAAAGGGAATAGTTTCATTATGCTTTAAATGACAGCCTTATAATATAATCATAGTTTTCGCTCAATATGCAGCATTTTTTTTTCGAAATCTATGGTCAATATCCTAAATACTGATTGCTTTGCATTCAGATCTCTTACATTTTCTATACCCACATCACTATTCATTGCTATTCCTATCTTTTTCATTTTTGTTTGTTTCTCATAATTTCTCAAAAAACATGATAACTTGATATTTGTAAATATCATACTTTATAACGTAAATAAGAACTTGACCTATTAAGAAAAGCAGTAATGAAAAGAAAATCTGAAATTCATAAAAATTACAAGTTTCTGATGACAATTAGCTTAATTAAACCAGGTACAAGATTATATAATTGTATTTTCTATCCAATTATCCATATAATATCTTATCCAGAAAAAATAACTTGATCAATACCAAATGATTTTTTAACTAGTAAATAAAGTATTTTCTTTACACACATGTAATAAACAGAAATTCATCAAAAGTGACATCTCTCAATCTTTTGACATTTGTAAATTCTAAATTGAATGAGAAAAATGAAATAATACTAAGCATAATACAATATTCTAGATTTAATTATAATTAGGGAAAAGTTAGTTTTGAGAGTACTTTTCATAGGCATATAGAATGAAATCTTCTGAAAAATAATATCACATAAACTCATATTATTTTCTAATATATAACTATTTTATATAAAAATCAAATTCAATGATCTTAAAAGCGAAGGATAAACCTCAAAATTTACGAATATAATGAGTGGGAATATAATGCTTATCTATCATAAAACCATATGAAATATCAATTTTTGCTTTACGCCTAATTTTTGACGACAATTAGCAAAAAATGTTAAATGTTAACACTCAGTCCATTTGAATATGAAAAATAAAATTGACTTTGATTAAATGTTTTTATTTATCATGCAATTCTTCTTGCGACCAAAGATTTGAATAAAATTTCAAAAAAATAAGATAGCTTAAAAAATAATATACGGTAGTGTTTACTAATAGATGAATAGTATATAAATTCTATTAAAATGGATTTGATCCAAAAAAATATATAAAATTTGATCATAAATAAAATCGTTTTAAATTACTTCTTCATTTAAATTATAACAATTATTTTTGGTTTTATATTTTTTTGGATCAAATCCATTTTAATAGAATTTATATACTATTCATCTATTAGTAAACACTACCGTATATTATTTTTTAAGCTATCTTATTTTTTGAAATTTTATTCAAATCTTTGGTCGCAAGAAGAATTGCACGATAAATAAAAACATTTAATCAAAGTCAATTTTATTTTTCATATTCAAATGGACTGAGTGTTAACATTTAACATTTTTTGCTAATTGTCGTCAAAAATTAGGCGTAAAGCAAAAATTGATATTTCATATGGTTTTATGATAGATAAGTAAGGGTTTCGTTTTGCTAAAATTGTCACTTTTATAGCATATTTGTTTTTGGATGTTTTGCGAAACCAAAAAAAAACTATGATATACAATGTGTGTGTAAAGAAAATACTTTATTTACTAGTTAAAAAATCATTTGGTATTGATCAAGTAGTAGTATATATGGAAGGGTTGTGTGACTTTTTTTTGTAAACGTAAGAATTCATACGATATTGAACGATTTTGTATCATTTTTTTTAACATATGAAGTAAAAAATGTATGATTCTTACGGTTTTTATTCTTACGTTTTTGAATAAATCAAGATTTAAAAAATGTTCAAATTGTAAGACATTTACTAAAAACACTTGTTTTAATGAATTTGCGAACGAATTTATGAACGAAAGACAAAGGGCTGAATTAGGAGGAAATAAAGGGAAAAGTTTATTTTGCAAGATTTCGCTTAATGGATCATATGGTTACGATGCAATGAATACACAAAATTACACAAAGACTAAAATAATGAATGCACAGAAGGCACGCGTTGCATGTATGCCAAATAAGTTTAAAAACATAAGAGAAATAGGAGAGGATACATATCAAGTGATGCTTAAAGATAGATTTTATAGATGTGATTCATGTTTACAAGAGGCATTCTTCACTTTAGATAATGCTAAATACTGGTATTTGGTTTTCATTTATGATTTTATGTATAAATGCATGAATGTTAATCGTTTTCATTTCATTGAAGGTGATACTGATTCATCTTATTGGGCAATCGCTGGCGATCCAAATCTTCCTAACACTCAAGCATTTCAGGCGATTGTAACCGATAAACAATTTTATGATAAAAACATTTTCAAATTTGCACCATTTGATTTCTTCTGTTTTGATGAGAAATTTAAACCTAAATTAAAGAATAAAGCTGAAGAAAAAGCACATGAGAAGAAGTTATTGGGTTTAGCAATTGAGAAACAAGGTGATAACATGGTTGCTTTATGCCCCAAGTGTTATACATCATTCAACGGTTCAATTGATGGAAGTGATTTTAAAAAGATTGCACAAAAAATGAAAGGTGTTAGTTTACGACAAAATAAACAATTAACACCTAAAAATTATTTGGATATAATAAATGATAAAGTGATATTTGATGGTCAGAATATTAATTTACAACTTAAAAACAGGACGATGACTCGCTTAACAATCGGTAAGACTGCATTAACGGGAGCACACACTAAGGCTGTATGTTGTGAAAATGGATGTTGTATGCCATTTATTTAATAATTTATTTTTTATTTTTAATGAAATGCCACAGAAGAGACAAAAGGAACCGTTAATAATGGTTTTAATTCTTGATCAAAGAGGTGGGCGCCCTTAAAACATTTATTTTATTTTTATATAAATGGGCAATGTAGATTTAAAAATTTTAATTGATGATTTAGTATTTAATCAAAATTTTCTTACTTATTATGAATTAAAAGCATATCTCCAAAAATATGATGAAAATATAACGGGTGATGATATGGATTATTATTATCAAAAAAAAAAAAAAGGTAGTGGGGCTTCCAGGCACTTCGTGCCCTCTAGCCCCGAAGATGTTTAGTATAAATGAAGTTTTTATTCGGAAAATTGTTAGTCTTCTGGTGTGAATTCGGAGGACTCTTCTTCTTCCTCCATTGCTTCTGGGAAGAAGCCTTCTTCTGGGTCGAAAACATTATATAATGTGTCGCTTTTCACAAATTATATATGTTTTCATGTTTTGTTACTTTTCTGTCACTTTTCAGGAAAAAACATTTTTATTATTATATATAAATGAATTTTACAAAACCTCCGTTACCGTTCTTTGGAAATAAGAGTAAATGTAAAGATATTATATTGAGAGAACTTAAGAAACTACCGAATGGTCTAACATTTGTAGATTTGTTCGGTGGAAGTTTCTATATATCCCATTTATGTCATACAATATTTCCAGACTCAAAGATTATATGCAATGACTTCGACAACTATATGGACCGTCTCAAACATGATTACCAGACACAAAACAATATATTGAAAGAGTTAAAAGAAAAGATACCTATAGGTAAGATGGAACGTATACCATTAGATAAGAAAAATATTGTGAGAGAGGTTTTGAAAAAAGCAGAATATATAGACTGGGATAGTATATCTGCTAGACTATTATATAGTGGTTCTATAAGAGTTCATGACATTGAAACACTTATGTCAAAAGTTTTTATATCTTAACTATACAAATGTTTTCAAAGAGGACATAGAAAAATATATTGAGGGTATAGAGTTTGTGAGATGTCATTGGACAGAGTTGTATGAAAAATATAAAGACAAGGAAAATTTTTCTTTATAGTGGACCCGCCGTTCTTAACACATGGATTTTCAATACCAAGTAGACTGGACTTTGAGAGACTCTTAGAAACTTTAGACGTTTTACATAACCATCTATGCTTTTACTTTACATCCGATAAAAGTGGTTTGGAAACCGTTATGAGATGGTTAGAGGACATACATGACTATGAGTTTAGATATGACAAGATAGAATATGAGAGAGGTCCTATAAACCGGAGAAAGTGTCATAACAAGAAATTTTATTAGTAAGTAAATGTGGTTTGAAATAGGACTACTTGTTTTAGGTTTTTTCCATTGTGTCATTTATTTCTTTGA